TGGCAAATGACAAATGTTCTAGGCGCTTCCTTCTGCTTATTAAGAAAAAACTTAAAGCATTTTCCATTTCTCATTTGCTTCTTATTTATTTTGCTATTCGCTGTCGTCTGTTTTAATGTGGTGCTAAGAAATCTCGCATTTGCACTTTGAAGGCAACTCGTGCCAAGAACAACAAGAGTAAAAGTAATAAAAATAATAATGATAATGATAATAATAATGAAATGAGCGCAGAGCAGAGGCAAAAATAAAGCATAAGTTGAAGAAAAATGTCAGAGACGTGCCTCGTATGCAAATTTCTGTCTGTGTGCAAAACGCAGACTAATAAGCGAAAAAGGAGACCAACAAAAATTTAAAAACAAAAAAACGAAAAAAAATGAAAAGAGAAACAGAAACAGAAAAAGGGGCGAGGCATAAACAAATATAAAAAATAGACAAAACAAAAGCGGGACGAGGTTATGAGACTACGAGATTACGACAAAGCCAGAAGCCACATCCATAGCCATGGTGTGAGGCCAACTGAAGGGAAGTCCTTCAAGCGCTCGAGCCTGGCCTTACGTACAGGAAGCAGCCGCGCCCTCCCAGGAGGCTGTCAGGATGCTGTGTCTATGAGTGAAGCGGGCCAAGTGTGGGGGCGCCAGCGCGTTTGACCTCGAGGCACAAATGAGTGCAGATACTAAAGCTGAACAAGCTGCTAATCCCCAAATGTGTTCCCACCATTTGCCCATACATAATTCAGCAGATTTTCATGTGCCAAGATCAACAAATACGTTTCATAAATCTCATTTTTCTCGAGTTTTATTGCAATAACAACAACGACAACGAGCGAATTGCCGGCAATCTTTCAAAATTTCAATTGTGTGTCTATGTATGTGTGTGCGTGTGTGTGTTGGAAAAATGAAACAAATTTCATTGCATAATTCATTACGCATTTGACTGGGTAAACGGGCTCGTTACGGGGGGCGTGGCAAGAAAGCCGCCTGCTATTTCGTACGGTCATAAATCTTCAGACATATGGGCTGTCATTGCCATAACGATTGGGGGCAAGGGACAAAGGATAAAGGCCATGGTGGCCGCTCAACGAGCTGCAAAAAATGCGTATTAAAAATATTTTTATTGTTGCCTCTCTTTGTTTTCACGCTCGACATTTTGCCAGTTAAACAAATAATAAACAATAAACCTGACAAAAGCCTATAAACAATTTAAGGCCAAAAATCCCGCAATGCAATTTAACCGAATTGTTGAAAGGGTTAAAACGAAATTCATTTCAATTCGCACTCGCATTCGCGTTCACGCGCTGTCAAGTGACTAAAACAATAAACGTCATAAAAAAAAACACGAAAATTCAACGCTAAAATAACAGCAACAACAACAACAACAGCAACAACATCAGCAATTGCTAATATCAAAGCACCGACAACAACAACAATCAGCAAAACATCAACAAGAGCTGTAATAATAAACGTGAGCACCAGAGAGACCGAGACAGAGAAAGAGAGAGAGAGAGAGAGAGAGAGCGAGGGAGAAAGAGAGAGAGACACTAAGGGGAAGGAAGAGCAAGTGTAACGATTGGCAACAATTTTACGAGTCGCCAGCTACTTTTTACAACGAATTTTCATTATTGCACAAGGTAAGCTTTTCCTTTCCCTTACAGTTTTTCGTTCATTCCTTTTTCTTCTTCTTCTTTTTTTTTGCCTTTGTCACTCAGCTGCAGTTTATTGGGTTTAAGCATTTGTCGGACCTTAAGCATTGCACAAATCCAATTGGATTGTGCAAAGTTACAAGAGCAGCGGAAAAGTTCAACATTAGTTTGTATTCTGTCCGGCACAGACTACCGTTAAAAGTTTAATCAAAGCACCAAATCCCAAACAAATTGTAAAAAAAAACAAAAGAGTTTATTTTTGTCTTCAAAAGAAGCTGCAGTGCATTCATAAAATTATATATGAAACAGCTACGAAGATTACTAAAAACCAAAAAAAAAAAAAAGGTTGAGAAAATACATATACACATTTTTAATTACTCAAAGCGAATCTCTTGCCATAAGGCTTAGCGGAAAATCCATAGCTTAAATAGGATTCTATAGCAAAACAGAAATTACAATGAGCCACATTTAGCTTATGAGATTGTCTAATGGATCATAATAACTGAAAAAAATAGCTTTTGATGATGGTTTACGATACATATTTTTGTTCTAATTTTATCTTGAGGATTATTTAATTTATTCAGCTTAAGCTGTTTGTCAATGAATATAAATTGGCCAGCCCCTTCCTAGCCATGCAATTTCATTGGTCAATAGATTCTATTTCTTACATGCCAAATATTTCTCATTGTTTTTTTTTTTTTAATAGATACTTATTCTTGCAATTATGCAAGTGTGAAATTGTTATTATTATTTATTTATTTATTTATTTTTTTTTTTTTTTAATTAATAGCTCACATTTTATAAATGTGTTTCTCAAAAAAAAAAAAAAAAAAAAAAAAAAAAAAAAAACGAATGTCATAATATAGCCTGCCATTGGGAGTATTTTTGTCCATGCCAAAGAAATAACTTGTGTAATAAAATATTAAAAATGCAAGAAAAATAAGAAGAAAAATAAATCAAAATCAAATTTCAATACGTATTCTATATTGAATGAAGAGCTCAGTGAATATTAAGGATGATATGCTGTAGCACATTTAATAATACTCAGCAAATACAATCTAACCCAAGCCTTGCCTAATGTAAGCCTTTCTACGGTTGCCTATTCTATTTGTCTACTAGTTGGCTATAGAAAAGCGTTGCGGACTCGTGCTCTAACTCCAAACCACTTGTCAATATACCACCGCTCTTAGCATTTCCCTAGCCCATGCTTGGCACATCTTCATTATCTTTCACTTTATGTAAAGTATGCTTCTCAATTATAGGGCTGCACTTCAACCTCAATCGGTCTGGCCACATAATTAAGCGAACTTTGCACTCCGAAAAAAAAAACCTAGCCTCTCCCTCCTCCCCTTCCAACACTTGATTTGGCATGCAACTTTGGCCACTTCGTTGCCGCTTTCCAAGTGCAAAGCACATGTCCAATATGCTGGCTTATATCATCTTTCAGCTCATGTGTTTCGGGTGGCACTTTCGGAAAACGCTGACAGACCCCCCGTTGACTCACACACACAAAAAATTCCACATAAAAAAAAAAATGGGAGATGGAGAAAAAAATTTGTTCAAGTTACTATTCAAACGCTTTTCAGCAGCTGCCGCACCAAAATCCCTTTTTAATTTTTCATGGCTGCCTGGCCCCCGCTCCGCGCCTGCTGCTGCACTTCATTCACTCAAAGTCAGCGCAAACAAAAAGCCAGAGTATGGGTGGGAGGCAGGGTGGTCACACACACAGACTCACCCACAAACACTTACACACAATGCATATGCATATAGCTGGGGGTCTGCGCAGCATATTTAACCCATTGCAAACACATTTGCATGCACTCAACTCGAGCTCCAGCTGTGGTGCTTGGGGGCTATGGAGTTTGTGGCCTCTCGTCTATTGCCTAACGTCTAACAGCCAACAGCTAGCGTCTCGCATCTAACGTCTCACATCTCGACTTGCGTCCACTTTGCACTCCCAAATTCAAATTCTCATATGCTAAGCGTGAAAAATGACTTGCACTGGGGTCAACCGGCAGCTTCCCTTTTCGCACCTCCCCCCGTCCTGGACTGGCAAAATATTTGCATAGTAAATGGTTTTATTATTAACTGTGTAAACTTTTATTTTTGAAGCCAGCCTTCGACTTGGCCCCTCCCCCTCTTGACCGTGTGCCCGCAATTTTCATAAAATGTTTTAACAAACTTGTTAAAATATTTGCCAAGTCGCTGGGGCTAAGATAATTTTCAATGGCCAGCGGTCAGTTTTGAGTGCGCAATAAAAATACAAATAGTTGCGCCGATGATGGGCTCAGCCATACCCTGTAGTACTTAAGCTCTAGGCTGATAATGCGAGTTGAAAAGTTTGACCTTTATTGCTTGCAGTGAAAGTGAATATTGTCTTGATGAGATTATAGATACCCTGTAAGTTACAGGTATTGATTGATTGCGCTGTGAAGAGCTTAAATGATTATGCGAATTATTTAGTCTGATATACCCTATAGACTTTTTTGCATTCATCATCATATTTTTGATGAGATTGACTTGCCTTAGCTTTTTAAACGTGTTGCACATCTCACTTTCATATCAATGTTGTTAGGATTATATATAGATATTATATAGATATACCCGATAACCTACGTTGCATACTTTTTTAATACAATTAAACTTGAGCAGTTTCATTATTAGTTTAAAAACCAATCCTTAACCATTAGACGCCGTTTACTTCAGTTCTGTCATGACAGACTTTCTCATATGATTCCCCTTGCTTCAGTTTCATTCCATTTTGCTCACTAGCTCGTTAGCACCTACGCCAGCCCCTCCCCTGACTACCCCATCTACTTGACTTTAGCACTGGGTATAATCAATTAAATCTTTCGCACGCTTTTAATTAAAATTTCCCTTGAGTTACATAATGAAGTTAACTCCTTTTATACATATACATACATACATATATATGTATGTTTATAAATGTATAAGTTTATTTTTTTTACGGCAGCCGCGAGACACTCTGGCGCTGTGGCGTAAATTTGCCTTTTTAGCCACGCCCACTCCGGCTGTCGCCACTCACGTAAATAAAGCGCGAAATTTAAAGCTTAAATCTCATTAAAATGGTTTTATTGCCACGTTGGGGCACGCGCGGGGTGCTGCATTTGGGGTTGCTGTGGCGCTTCAGTGGGAGTGGGAGTGGCGCTTGGGTAGCTCGAGCGGGTTAACTGCAGCTTCCATTTCGCTACACATTTATTTTCTCGCCCATAGTTTCAATTTGGAGCGTAGCTGGCGCTGCGGGTGTCAATTTCATTGCGCGCTTTGAAGTTCCCGCAAAGCAAATGAAATATAGCAGAGCGCGGGGGGCGGAGTGGCTCGGTCGTTGAGGCTGCTGGAGTTTGGCGGATTGCACAATGTGCCATGACACAATTGAAATCGATAGCAGACAAGCCATAAAGCATGAGTATGCTAAAAAAAACAGATGAGAAAAAAAACTATGGGGCGTATTTCGGAGACATTTCGCAAGCCAAACCATATTCAGAGAAAACTGAAAAAAG